TCTTTTTATTCTTTCTTTCTCTCTGTTCTCATTCTCTTTTCTTCTTCTCTTATGCTTACTCGCCATGAAGGAAAATCATGGTTCTCTCTTATTCTCATCATACTCGCCATGAAGGAAAATCATGGTTCTCTCTCTCTCTTATTCTCGTTATACTCTCACTAACTATGGAAGAACTCATGGTGCATACATGTAAGAGACGTACATGCGATTAATGCAAAAGAACTGCATGTTTCTTTCTTCTACTCTCTATTCTTACTAACTTAAACTCTCTCATTCTTTCTCATACTCTCTCTCTTTCTATCTCATTCTTTCTCAAGCTTTCTCATTCTTTCTCATTCTCTCTATTATCTCATTCTCATAATTCATGTCTACTAACTCGCTCTTTGAATGTCACGGCCCCATCTTACTGGAGGCACGGTCGGGACTTCTCCCGCTCTACGTGACTTCTACTGATTCTCTTTTTGTCTCTCTTTCTCATAACTCTTTTCTGTTAACTTTCTGTTGTAGGTCACGACCTCATCTTACCAGAGGCACGACGGGGTACTCATCCCACTTTTCGTAATCCTACTCATTGTCTCTCTTTACTCTTTCTCATGTTTGCTCATTCTTCCTCACTTGCATGTCACGACCTCATCTTACCGGAGGCACGGCTGGGTGGAGATCACAAAGCACCAACCCACTCTTCGTGACTTCTACTCATTCTTTGTCGATCGGACTCAGTCATGCATGGATTCGAAACCCTTGGCCACATGAGTGTATTCTCTCTCTCTCTCTCTCTCTCTCTCTCTCTCTGAATGTCACGGCCCCATCTAACCGGAGGTACGGCTGAAACCTCATGTTCCATTCTTCGTGACAGTCACGGCCCTATCTAACCGGAGGCACGGCTGGGGATCACAAAGCACCCACTCTCGTGACGTTACTCATCACTCACGGGTTCCCCATCACACAACCTACTCTTTTATTCACTAGTGCTCAATCTCTCTTTCTCTTTACTATTAGAGTGTTCTCATTTTCTTTACTCTTAGAGTTGTTATTCTCAACATTCTCTACTCTTGCTCACTCAAACTATTACTCATAGTATAGCTTATACTCAAAATTATCTACTCTTGCTCAAGCTAATACTCATCTCTTCCTCAAGCTAGTACTCATAGTATGGCTTAACTTTTAGGGTAGTCTATTCACAAAGTTCTCTACTCTTTCTTAAGCTATACTCTTAAAGTATTTTATTCACAAAGTTCTCCACTCTATCTCAAGCTATTATTCATAATGTAGCTCATACTCAACATTCTCTACTCTTTCTCAAGCTACCTCTCAAATGCACAATTAATGCATATGGATGGTTCATGCTCATTAATACACTTATGACATGCCAAAAGCCATATTGCATCAAAACAGTCATTCTGCGCAAGTCACACTCAAGAAGCCATAACTTGAGTTATACACCTCAGATTGCTACAGGTTTGGTCTTGTTTTAAAGCTTAGAGACAGGGCTAAAACTTTTATGTTTTGGTCTAAACCCATTTCAATCTGTAAGTTGCCCAAAAGTCACTTAGAAAGTCACGGCTATGAAAGGGCAGTTTTCACTTAGGCATATCATCAAACAACTCATGTGCATACAAAAACTCCTCTATAACTACAACTCTATTTATCTTTTTAATCATCCAAAATGGGAAGAAACTCCCTTCTATGAACATAATTCCTATCATAGAAGAACAATCCTCAAAAATTTACTCAATCTCCTCCAACTTCATCTCAAACTCATCACACATCAACACTTCTCATAAAGGAAACATATCCAACAAACATAACATGAATATTCATCTCAACTCCATTTCTCAACAAGTAGACATACATCTCTACTCAATTTCTCAACAAGCATCATATATACATGCATAAAGAAAATCTCCACTCAAAGATTTCTTAAACTTTAGCTTGAGTTGGATTTACTTACCCCATACTTGAGTAGTCTTCACTAAAACTCTCTACTCTTGTTGGACCTTAGCTTTCCCTTATTTCCTAAGCATAAACTTAGTAAGAACTTAACCCTTACATAAATAAAACTCATATCTAGAGTAGAGATTCTTACCTCTCCTTGCTTAGGATCAATTCTTTGTCAAATCCCAACTCAAAACTCTCAAAAATCCCTTGGAATATTGAGTGAGGAATTGAGAGAAAATGAGGGATGAAGAGACGGTGGAAGAAGGGAAAAATGAAGGGGTTTAGAGAATTAAACTCTTATTAGCTCATTTAATATACACTCTTTCCCATTTTGCCCCTACTCTTTCTTGAAAATTCCACCTTTATCCTTTGATTCTTTACAAACTCACCCCCATTTTACACTATTCTCCATGAAATTTCCTTGCATTTTACTCCCCACTTTTCCACATAATTAGGGGTAGAATGGTCATTTTGCCCTTAGAAAAGAATTCTCTAGAAACTCAAACAAAAACTCAGTCGACCCTTCGCCGCGGCGAAGGATTCTCTGTCGCCCCGGCAAAGAAATACAGAACCAACACCCCCATTCACAAAGCCAACGTCGCTGTGGCGAAGACTGCAACTCCAAAATCCGCTAAGTCTTGATCAATTCCAGGGTAAACACTCAACCAAACCCAAAACATAAACTCAACCAAGGGCCAACCAAACAACATGAATAATATACAACCTCATTGAGTGGCGATTTAGTAAACCTTGAGGCCATACCATAAGCAATGGATATGTATCTCAAATGGGGCGTTACAAGAACTGATGGTAGTGGTTCAAGCCATTCAAAAGTGGCGACATTACCTCCTCGGATAGAATTTTGTTATCCGAAAGGACCAACGGAGCCTGCATTTTTTGACCGAGCAAAAATTGCTAAGTGAAAGTCAACAGAAATGGGTCATAAAGCTGTTGGGATTGAATTTTGTCATACAGTATCGATCGAGAGTGAAAAATAAGGCTGCTAACTCACTGTCCCACAGGGAAGAAAAGGCAGAACATAATGCCATAACCGTCAGTTGTTTTGCAGGTATGAAGGACTTAGAAGAGGCTATTCAGAAGGATGAGAAACTTCATCAAATTATTCAGCAACTTTTGATCGATCCAAATGGCCGACCTCCTTTCCAACTTGTGGGCCATCATTTACTCTATCATGGCAGGTTAGTAGTCCCTAGAACAGGCCCTCACATACAAAACCTTCTACATGAGTTTCATTCTTCACATATGGGGGGCATTCCGGGTTTTTTAGAACCTACAAACGCATTGGTAATGTGATATATCGGGAGGGGATGAGAAAGGATATCAAGAATTTTGTGGAAGCTTGCGCTGTTTGCCAACAGAACAAATAAAAGGCTTTGAGTCCTGTGGGATTGTTGCAACCACTACCCATTCCGAATCAAATTTGTGAGGATATATCTATGGACTTCATTTTGGGCTTCCTAAGGCCAGAGGGGTAGACACTATCCTGATAGTAGTCGATCGACTCTCGAAATATAACCATTTCATCACCTTGCAGCATCCCTACACCGCTAAGGAATTTGTTAAGGTATTTATTAAGGAGGTAGTCCGCCTACATGGGTTCCCACGATCGATCGTTTCTGATCGAGACTAGATCTTTGTTAGTCATTTTTTAGGTGAGTTATTTCAACAATCGGGGACCCAACTCCACATGAGTTCTGCCTATCAACCACAAATGGATGGGCAAAGAGAGGTGGTAAATCGTTGCTTAGAAACTTGTCTTAGGTGCTTTATCAATGGACAGCCGCAACAATGGTCGAAATGGATACCTTGGTCAGAATTCTAGTTCAACACCACATTCAATGTATCGGCAGGTATGTATCCCTTTAAAGCCTTGTATGGTCGTGATCCTCTTACGGTACTAAAATATACTAAACATTCCTCCCGAGTTGATGAAGTCCACCAACAACTCTAGGACCTTAACTACATCTAAAAAACAACTTGGTTCAAGACCAAAATTGCATGAATATGTATGCTGATAGAAGGAGAAAAGAAGTTGATTTTAAGGTAGGGGACTCAGCATATTTGAAACTTCAGCCATATAGGCTACACTCTTTAGCAAGGCACCACAATGAAAAGCTTAGCCCGTGATTTTATGGTCCATTTGTGAACAAAAACAAAATCAGGGCAGTAGCTTACCAATTAGATCTCCCTCCCTCAGCTCGCATACATGATGTTTTCCATGTTTCCCAATTGAAGAAAGCCATTTTTCCAATTCCCAACAGCTAGCCCCTTCCGAAAAACCTCAACAAAAAATTAGTGTTAAATGTGGAACCCCAAACAGTTCTTCAAAAATGAAGACTACTGAATGGGCAATGGGAAGTCCTTATCCATTGGACGGGACTGTCGAAATTTGAGAGCACTTGGGAGGACTTCAACACCCTCAATACCCAATTCCCTCCTTTCCACCTTAAGAGCAAGGTGGCTCTTCTTAGGGAGGGTAATGATAGATCAAATGCAATGCAGGTCTACAATAGGCAAGGGAAGCATAATAAAGGATCACAAGCTAGGCTGGCAAAACAATATAGGACAAATGGCAACATGACAGAGGGCAATCCGCAAAAGACAGATGGCAATATGCGAGAGGGGGAGTACAGTATTCTATTATGGGAATACTGAGGCATTGCAAAAAAGGGGCAGAATGTCAGGAGACGACATAAGTGAGGACAAGAGAAATTGGGCAGAGGCTAGCCCTCGAAGCTCAACAGTGTTTTTTACTTTTCTTTGAGTCTATATTGAATGTTTTGAATCTTTGATATTGAGTACGCAGTGAAATAGTTATCTAGGTTATTTTTGCAATTCCAAAAGTGTAATAGACACATGGATATCAATACAATATAACCTTCTTCTCTTGAATAGTTCTATTATCAAATTTCTCTTTTTGACTGTTCATTACATTGTCGAGATTTCCATAGTTGTTGAGTTGGGAATAGAGTCCTATCAGAAACTTATACAGATTTCAGAGTAATTCAGAAGTAACACTATTTTTATAAGATAAAGGGATTTTACCCAAGTCCATTTTCAAACCATGTTGCTTCATAGATTCCATTGGCAGTTTGAAATCCCATATTAGCCAAATCTTCATGGATCATCGTTGCAGCAACAACATATGTGACCCTAGACCATATTTCTATTGACTGTAATATTGTCATGTCAACTATTCCATCAGGTAGCATCCCATCTACTGCCCCCCGCTTTCCATCCATAATCTTCAAGACATTATTGTTAAAAACCTTTTCTAATGCACTTCTCTCTTCGTAAAAAAATCGGTGAAAGACCACATGCTCAGGCATACCTACAACAGAGACACACTTGGTAAGTCCTGGTCCTGGTCCCTAGACATTTGAACAATTTTTTTGGAATTGAATAACTTTTGAAAGACATTACAGTTATGAGGTAATGGTCATACATCTTTGGTGAAAATGCAATCAGTTCAATCATAAATTCCATCAACATTGATTCCAAAAGGTCTAATGAAGATTGATAATCATATTTTACACTATGATTTTGCATTGAATTTTGATAGGATTTAGGATACTTTTTATACAATTTGGGCCATAATTGCTACCTAATTCTATTAATTTGTCTTTGCAGGCCTAAACAATGATTTTTAGCATAAATGACAGTTTTGAGCGTAAATTGTGTAACTTGAGCTTGGAAACTCGAAATGACCTGAATTTAGAATCTTTGGAAAGCTACGAAGAAGAGCTATAACTTTCATGTTTTGGGTTTTTCCTAATTCGGACCGGACAATGGTGAAAAATTGGCTTGAAGTCGTGAAAAGTACACTGAGAACTGAAGAAAAAATGTCTTTGGACATACATCAGTATTTCTACCATAACGTGAGCTGTAGACCTCGGATTGTGCTGATTATTGAATGACCAGAAATAGAATTGAAAGGGCTACAATTAATATTTTTAACACTTTTCTAGATTCAGACTCTATCAGGGTCAAATTTGGCCCGAAAGTCTTCACCGTGGTAAAACCTGCATCAGATGTAAAATAAAACGACGCATTTTGGCTTGCTAGGGCTTCATCCTTAAGTGAGAGAGGTATAAATTAGAGCGAAAAGGAAGAGAAAAGAGCCAAGGGGTTCGTCATTTGGAAGGCAGCTCTTGGAAGGAGAAGATTATTGAAGATTTGGGCTTTAAATTAAAGAAGATTTCTCCATCTTTTGCTTGTTTTTCAATGATGAATCTTGATTCAATTTGTTTTTGTTATTTTATTTCGTTTTTGAGTATGAACTGAGTTGTTTAGCTAGGGTTTGATGTAACCTTGATACAATGATTCAAATTTATATGAATTGATTTACTTTGAGTTTTAATTTCATGATTGAGTGTTTATCTCTTTGCTTAATGACTTTTGGATGCTTGATCACCATTCAAATGTGTGTTATTCACAATGAGACTGAGAAGTGATTAGTGATTATGCCTCTTGGGATAAATACCGTACATTAAGCAAACGCTAGAGATAGGTTTAGCGATCTATGAAATCTAGATAGAATTCTATAAAGCTTAAAAGACTTTGAACTATTAATCTTCATTTTGTTAGGTGCGGAAGCTTAATAGGGATAAGTAGGGAAATGTAGCCTGGGAAGGTACGTTTTACAACTTAGGAAATTTGATTTTCAATCAAGGAATTAGAACTTGGGTAATAGATTCTATGAATTGGTTTAGCATATCTAGGTGAAATCAACACCCTAGCATTTGTTAGCATTGTTTAATTAGTTAAGCTGTTGGGTTTTGCTTTAATTTCATTATCATTCATTTATATTTTGTTAATTTGTATTTAGTTTGTTAAATTTCCATCAATCCAATTTATTGTTTCTTCAATTAGGACTTAAACTAGAGAAATCAGTAGTTAGTAACACTATCCTCGTGGGAACGATACTCTACTTATCACTTTATTACTTTTTGCGACTAGTACACTTGCTACATTTGCATGTTTATGAAATCAAGCATCAAAGATAGTAAGAACTAACAATTTTTCATGGTCTACATTTGGCCATGGCTTGTAAATTGCTGAAGTGATCCCACCGAGAATTCGCTGACTCTAAAGAAATCATAAGCATTATATTTCAAATGCATGAAGATTGACTAATTCTCAGAAAAAAAAGAGGGAGAGAGAGAGAGAAGCACTGTAGCATATAATAAATGTATTATTGAACATTCTTCGCCCGGTAACTAAAACAGAGCCTTTCCACAACTGGCTGAAGCTTTTGCAGTTTTATACTCAAATGTTGTCAAATAAAGGTCTCCTGATAAGGATTCTGCTCTGAATAAAGTTGACAACTCACTAAATTTTTGTCATGAAAACTTCAAAGTGGCTTTTGGATCGGAAATTGAGGAAGCTGATTCAAACATTCACGATAATTTTCATCCTTCAATAGTAACTGCATGACTAAGGACATTGTACATTCAGTAGGCTTCAGGTTTCTCTTCGCCATCTTATGAAGTAGTTCAACAACTTTTGGTACCTTATTATTCTTGAGGAAACCAAACATAATCGTAGTAAATGTGAATACATTTGGAACACAACTTTTTTCCTTCATATGTGACAACAACTCATTTGCCTTTTCTAGTTGTCCATTTTTACAAAGCCCATTGATCAAAATGCTATATGTTACAACGTCTGGCACTAGGTTTTCATGTTAAGAAAATTTTTGAAATAGCTCCCAAGCAGTTTTTAATCTCCCTGTTTTGCACAAGCCATCAATGAGGGAACTCAAACTTTCAAGACTAACCGCAAACTTATTATTTACTAAATTATGAAATCTTTCCACTGCTTCCAAAACACAACCATTCTTGCAAAGTCCATCAATGAAAATGGTATATGTCAATGAATTAGGTATAACACCATTAAATTGCATCTCATCAACTAATTTCCGCGCATGTTTTACCTCAGCTTTAAGAAAAAGGTCAGTTAACAAAGTGTTATACGTAATCACGTAAGGTTTAATTCCTTCTGAAATCATCTCTCGATAAAGGATAAGAGCTTTGATGACTTTTTTGTTCTTGCAATACCAATTGATTAAAGTATTGAAGCAAACAACATGAGGTGTATATCCCTTTCTACTGATAGAAGCAAACAACTCCCTTGCATCACCAATTCTTTCTGCCAAGCAATAACCATTTATTAAAATATTGTAAGTATAAATGCAAGGATCCGTACCTCTTTGAATCATTAGTTCCAACAACCTATTTGCTTCGTCTAATTTCCCTCTCTGGCAAAGTTCATTTATGACCACATTAAACGTCATCACGAAAGGCTGCACACCTTGATTCATCATCACAATAAATAAACTTTTACCCTTCTCCCAATCACCCACACAACACAAACCATGAATTAAAGTGGTATAAGTGACTGCATTTGGACTAATTCCTAAACCCTTCATTTCCAAAAGTAATTGTCTAGCCTTCTCAATTAATCCATCCTTACAAAGACCATCAATTATAGTGTTATAAGTAACAACATTCGGTCTACAACCAACCGCAACCATTTTCATAAATAACTCCCTTGAATCCATAATCTTTCTCTCTATACACAGACCTTTAATCACACAATTAAAAGTCACAGCATCGAGGCTAAAACCCGTCTTCAAAATCCCCCAAAAAACTGAAAACCATCCAAAACCCTTTTGATATTACAGAAGCAATATTTTGTTCATTGACAGGAGTTGATTGTTGCTTCAACTTTGTTTTCTTTTTGATAAATTTTATCACACAATCAAATAATATAAATTAAAAATTTTGAAGATTTTGTTTTTTACTTTCTAGAATTTATGTAAGTGGTGGTATATTAATATGTCAAATTTATCAAAACATTATAAAGCTAACTAATATTAAAATAATGTTCTATATAATTTATTTTACTTGTAGTTTTCATACAGCTTAAAATTTGTATAAAATATTTATGTCAAAATTTTAATTTAAAAAATCTTATCTAATGTTTAGAAAACCGGACCGAGCCTTGATTCTATCAAAGGCCTATTCACGGTTTGATCGATCGGTACATCAGCAACAAAAATATTTTTTAAAAATTATAAATTAGTCTTTAAATTGTAATAAATTATAAAAATATCTCTAAAAAATATATTAGTCCCTAAAAATTTAATGTATTCCAAAAAAGTACCCAAAAAATTACAAAGTAATCCCTAAAAGTTTGAAATACTAAAAATACCCCTAAAAAATTTCATTAACCCCTACAGATTTAAAATGTAACAAAAACCCCCTAGAACTTGAACCAGACCGAAGAGGTTGCCAGTTCCCAGTCCGACCAGCCAATCCGATTCAATTTTCAGAACATTAATCTTATCCCATTTACTATTATACTGTTACCTATTAATACAACATTTGTGGGACAGACATGTGCACTCAATACTACATGCCAATATTTGTGATGTGCACATCTAAGTGATTATGGAAGATTGCACATGAACAAGTCCCATTGAAAAAGCATCATTGAAATTAAAAACGAAAAAAAACAAGTCACAAGTGTATTTACCATGACTATTCTCCAAATCACAAATATACTAATTAATAAAAAAGGTTTCTATTGTAAAAAAAAAAAAAAAAATCATGAAATTCTTGAGAGTAGAATCTCAAGATTCTAATGACAAAGTAATGCATCATGTAATACTGCATAAGATCTGAAGTTGAACTCTTGTCAATTAGCTTTTCAGGATACAACTTGAAAAGTATGGTATTAGTCTCAATTAGCTTTGCTATCTCTATTCTGAAGTTATCCCAAGCGGCATCAATGCCATCCATGATGTGATCACAATCTTGCTTATCCATCTCTAAGGCATCAGATCTATGATTGTATTGACTCAGAGCATTTTTGGATGTTCTCGATGATTCCGCAAGAGTCCTGGCTTGTTCCTCTAAAGAAGCAATACATTCATTTTCTATTGAAGTTGTCAATGCTCATCAACAAATGCAAGAAACTTATCCCTTTGATCTTGACAGAGAGATGCTCAAATCCCATGAGGCAGCAGCGACGAATAAACTCTTTTGCGACACTGATCTCATGACTACTTACTGTTGGCCGCTGTGAACACCCTGGTAGAGCCTCAAGAGAATCATCAAGCATATTCTCATGTTTTGCAAAGAAGATCCTTGTATCACCTGTAGTTGAGAATGAATGCATATGGAAGTGAAAGCATATTTCTTGATCAAGATATGAGAGGAAATGAATTACCTCACTCTTTAGATAGGTTGAAGGTACAGAGCTAGCAAGGCTTCTGGCAGAAGCTTGAACAGATGGCTGTGGCTGGAAATATCTGGTGGAGAAGTTGGCAAAGATGCTGTAATGAGATTCCACAGAATTATCTGGGAGGAGAGGAATCTACACCTGCAATAAATGAAGTTAAAAGAAAGTGAGCCTAAATAATTTTCATTCATTTATTGGAAGGGGAGAAAGTTACCATGGTTAAAGGAGGTGTAGTAGGTTGTACTGAGGCAGCAGAATCTTGGTCTTGGAATGTAGAAGAAATTGGAGCTAGTCTTGGTGCCAATGCCATTGCAGGCTCATCTATCAAAAAAAAAAAAAAAACAATGTAAAGATGGAATTGACTTTAATATTTCATTCAAACAAATGAAAATGTAAATTGTGTAAAAAATTATCAATGAATGCCTGCTTAAAAGACAAGTCACATTTATGTTGAGACAATCATCTGCAACTTCTACAAACTGGTATGCATTTTTCTCCAAATGGTCACTTTGGTCAAAAATCATTCTCAGTCTCTTGCAATGTCACCATTCCAGCTATTTCACTACAAAGCCTAGTTGAAAACAGGTTTGTATAACAAAATTTATCATCCTTTGCACTTGAGCGGCTGCCATTATTCTCGTAGTTGAAATAAGAACCATTCCACAATTTCTCATATACAACTTTTGCTTACTCAAATTTGCACCAGAAATAATCCTCAGACCCTTAACACCTACTTCATGTGCAAATGTTGATGCGGCCTACATTGCTGCCACCTGCACTATTTGCACTTACAACAGAGACAAATCATGTATCATATGTCTAATCAGGGAAGCCATCATTCTCGATCATCCCCATCACCCTCCCTATCAAATTCGAACAGATAAAAGTGTTTTCTGAACTTTCTTCTTACTGTAACCAAAACAGAGCATTTGGGCAGCCAGATGAACTTTTGCAGGATTCTACTCCAGAAAAAGTATAATACTCACTAAAGTTTTATCATGTAAACTTCAATTTCGCTTTTGGACCGGAAATTGAGGAAGCTGGTTCAAACATTCACGATAATTTTCGGCCTTCATTAGTAACTACATGACTAAGGACATTGTACATTCAGTTGGCTTCACATTTCTCTCCATCATTGTATGAAGCAGTTCAACAACTTTTGGTATCTCATTATTCTTTAGGAAACCGAACATTAGGGTATTAAACATGATTACATTTGGAGCACAACCTTTTTCCTCCATATATGACAAAAACTCATTTGCCTTTTCTAGTTGTCCATTTTTACAAAGCATATTGATCAAAATGTTATAAGTGAGTACGTCTGGAGAAGTTCCCGAACTCTTCATTTCGAAATATAAGTCTATCGCCTTCTTAACTAATCCAACCTTCCAAAGACCATCAATTACAGTATTATAAGTAACAACATTTGGCCTACAAATAACACCAGAGCCTTCATTTGCCTTGGCCAATTCTTCAAGCAACTTAATGGCAGGACTTATCTTCCCTGTTTTACACAATCCATTCATTAAAATGCTGTAAGTATAAACATCAGGAACCACACCTCTCTCAATCATAAGTTCCAACAACCTATTTGCTTCATGCAATTTCCCTTTCTTGCAACGTTCATCTATGAGCACATTAAACGTCACCACAGAAGGCTGCACACCTTCATCTATTATTTCAATAAATAAACTTCTACCCTTCTCCCAATCACCCACACAACAAAAACCATGAATTAGAGTGCTATAAGTGACTGTGTTTGGACTAATTCCAGAATCCTTCATTTCCAAAAACAATTTTCTAGCCTTCTCAATTAATTCAGCCTTACAAAGACCATTAATTATAGTACTATAAGTAACAACATCTGGCCTACAAATAACACCAGATTTTTTATTCCCATCAACCATCCCTTCAAGCAACTTAATGGCAACACTTATCTTCCCCGTTTTACACAATCCATCAATCAAAATGTTATAATTGATCACATTAGGCCTACAACCAACAGCAACCATTTTCTTAAACAATTCCATCGACTCCACAATCTTTCTCTCTACACACAGACCTTTGATCAAACAATTAAAAGTCACAGCATCTGGGTTGAAACCCTTCTTCAAAATCTCCCCCAAAACGGAAAAACCATCAGAAACCCTTTCAATCTTACACAAGCAATCGATCAAAACGTTCAAAGACAATAAATCTGGAGACAACCCAGTTGAATTCAACCACTTATAAAGAGAAATCACTTCATAATAATGCTTCTTCTTTGACAGTGCACTAAACAAAGTAGTGAATGATGAAATTGGAGAGATGGGTTGCGAATTAATCATGTAATGAAAAAAGTACAATGCTTCATTCAGAGTAAATTACCTGATCGACAGTTTTCTTGGAGGAATTTAGCAAGTGAGGATCGTTCTAGGGGTTTTTTCGAAAGAATACAAAACTTCATTGTTGGAGCTTGAAGTTGTGAGGTTGTGTAAGTGAGCTAACAAAGATGAAATATGACCTTTCAGAGATGGGTTTCGAGAGATTGAAGACGAACGAAATGGGGATCTCAAAGCCATGTATGAAGAGCGTTTTCCAGGTTCAAGGTTGGATGGTTGCTTTTCGGTTGCAGGGGGTTTTACTTTTTAAATTCCAAAATTATCCAGTTGACCAAACCAACTAAAGTAAATCTTGTTATTGAAATTTGAATTTAATTTACAATAATATTAAAAATGTTTTTCTTTTTCTATTTGTTCTTTAAAATTTTAAATATATCAAAATTTATATTTCATATAGATGAATGTGATATATTAAAAATTAAAGATATTGGTTTTACTTTTTAAAAGTTATATGAATAATTTTTTCATATAGCTTTTATGAAATATTTGTATTATTAAAATAATATTGTGTATAATTTATTATGATTACTAATTTTATATTATATAAAAGAGTTATATTGACAGTCTTGAATACTAATTTTATATTATATAAAAAATTTATATTGACAGTCTTGAAGTTTGATATAATAAAAATAATCTAATTTATGAAATAATAAAAATTGTTACTGTTAAATTATAAAGGTTAATTTATAAATATATGTTTAAGTGGCAAACTAATAGTTTATCAATAACAAAGATAATTTTATTATTTTAAAAATCTTAAGAGAATTTATATAATTATAGTGAACCTCAAAATAGTTGATTTGATGTCTTTAACTCTTTATGATACTATTGTAATATTCCACATTATTTTTTTAGTAAATAATTTCTATTATGAATGTGTTTTCAATAATATTGTAGTCTCTGTTATGACCCTGACTGCTTACAAAATTTCGAAACAATGGTACCCATTAACAAGAATTGGATAACAGATGGTAGAACAATTATAATTTGCATAAGCATTTCAAATGCTTTTTTAATACAATACAACTCATTGCTACAAACAAATTGGATGACAGTAATAAGTTATAGAAACCAATCAATGATATAAACATTCTCTTGACAGTGTGATAAAGGAGTGACTGTAAAAGATCATTAAGCATTTTACCATCCAGTACCTTTAGAATGCAAGCAACTTTTCAAAATTATGCTTGATATCTATACAAAGATTCTTCCTTTACTTTTATTTTAATCTCATTCTTAAGGTTTGGCCTTGTTAGAACCCATGGGATTGCCCATCTGGCCAACAATGCATGTAACATGGTCTTGTAAGAGCCTATGGAATTGCCTATGGCTACATCGAAGCAAACTACCAAAAGCATCGTTATTTTTTTTTATCAAAAACGTTGGATCAAATTTGATTCGAATATGATATTGGAATATTTGGAGTTCACATATCCTTGATCATCTTCTCAATAATTTACAAAGTTAAATTCAGTACAAATATATCTAATGGTCAATGAAAAGATACCTTGAATCTTTCTTCTGCTTGAAACTTTTGGCTAAGTAGATGAGATGAGATTCAACATTTCAAGCAATCGCGACTATTAAAGACAGTGGATATCTAATGGTCAATTAAAAGATTGAACAATTTTGAGACAAAGCCTAATTAAGCTACCAGATTATGTACAAGCAGTTTAAAACTCAGTCGACAAAAACATTGAGTCATGGAATCATTGCCAATCGTTTACCACTGTATAGGCATTGGGTTCATGCAATATCCTGTAATTACGAAGAAATGACGCGACGAGAGCTGGTAGATAGCATATCAACAATGTTTTTGATTTCTTTCTACAATTAAGGAAGCTTTTGCTAGACCATTTAGTTTTGTTGAAATATTTGTATTATTAAAATAATATTATGTATAGTTCATTATAATTACTAATTTTATATTATATAAAAGAATCATACTGACGATCTTGCGGTTTGATATAATAAAAATAGTCTAATTTATGAAGTAATAAAAATCTTTATTGTTAAATCATAAATATTAAAATAATATAACGAGAACAATTTAATAATACTTATTAATTTATAGATATATGTTCTAGCAAAAGACGAATAGTTTATTAATAACCAAAGAAATTTTATTATTTAAAAAATCATAAGAGAATTTATATAATTATACTAAACCTAAAAGTAGTCGATTTGATATCCTTATCTGTTTATAATCTTTATAATACTATTATAATGTTCCACGTCAGTTTATCCATAGTGTTCAAAATCTCTGTCACCCTCTCATCATTGTAAGCAAGTTGAGCTATTCTGGTTTTTCCCAAACCTCCTAATCCAACTATAGGGATAACCGAAATTTTTCCATTGACCCCACTTCCTCCATTTGATAATACTTGCCGTACTATAACTTCTTTATCTTGACCACTTCCAACAACTTTTGATTCAATTAGGAAAGACCCAGTTTGTCTGTTCTCTTCAACATCACACCTTCTTTCAACAACCCCTTCTTTCAAGTGAAAGTTAAGCCTTTCAACAACCAAAAAGTCTAATCTTTTTCTAATTTCTTTTAGCTTAGGGAACAATTCAAGATAAACTACAATTGGTTTCAAAGAAGGAAAGAAGTCAATAAATACCTTGATCATGAAGAAGCCTTGGCTCCTAGCCATTAGAGCATCCAAGCAAAACTCATCAAGTAAATTGTCAGCATCATAAGCAATATCTTTAAGCTCACCCAACCATATTTTCACTGCTTTCTCCTTCACTTGTCGCTCTTCTGCATCTTCAAGAACTGCTTGAATGGTGTTTAGTGGTGGAACAGCTAAACTAAAGGTTCTTTACCTACGGCTATTACGACAGTTAAGGACGATAGCAAAAGAGTCAGCTTGAGAAGATAAAGTGCAAGTACAACCTGAATCAATTTCAAAACAGTGTAAGCCCAAAATTCGACAAAGCAAATATCGAGCATAAAGCAAAAGAGAGAAACCACAACATAATGTTGATGTTGGATCTACACCCATCAAATAACAAATATTTATTACAACAATTGTAAGAATAACAAGGGAGAAAATAACTTATAATTAACCAGTAATTGCATTTATTATGATCCAAAGAATCATATCAAAACTAGGCGAAGGTATGCTTAGAACTTTGAGACCAAATCCGTAGAGAAGGCATATCAAATGGTCAGTAGAACTGAAAAATCTTCCAAACAATCAACTTGACGATATAATCACATAAACTGACAAAAGCCAAGAGGATAGTGAAGGCAAGAGCCCATTGAAATGCACCATAACGAAAATGATGAACTAATAAAATCCAACTTAAAAACATGCTCTACAAAGCAAGGTCTTTTAGTGAATATCAGTTGTATTTTACTTAAAATTTGAGCAATTTATTACATATGGGCTTTCAGTTGCAATAACACACAAAAATGCCTCATTCATCAATACAAAAATAAATATAGAAAACCAATTAACAGATATCCTTCAGACAGTGATACCTGACATAACTAGATATCGGGTATCAGACAACAACTTGAGTGCTAATGCAAATGATTAGGGCTTGTACCAAGCACAACCCAGTCAAATAATTTTTATATACCTGGAACAGTTTTGATGTTTCCTATCATGTTGATATTGAGTCATTAGCTTTGCCACCCAAGATAACCAAGCAAACACTAATAGACTTATAACAACATTATCTTCAGCCCAACAATTTCAAAAGGTTGCATCTCTGATAAAATTAACTAGTAATAGTATTAATGGGTGGATATATTGAACACGGGTAACATATTGCATCCTGGAGTTCATATTGTTTTGTGGTAAATTAATGAAGTTTGGCAATAATGGGTGCATTTAACACTAGTGCAAGGAAAGTGAACCTATCGAATAATATAGACGGGCTATGGCAAACTGGGAAATGAGAGCCTGATGGTGATGAGCAGGATTTCTGGATCATACACAAATTAAGGTAAACTAAATTAACTATCGGTTTCATTATGATATCTTTTAAGTTCAACTATTATGATTTAATAGTTAATTAATTAGAAGAAAGACAAGATTTACATATTACTTGTTGATCAAGCCTTGCTTTAATATCCCCACATGAACAGATATTAATTGCATGATCAAGCCTGTATGGCAAAAAACTTAAAATTAACTAGTAATCGTATTAATTATGATCCTAGAGGATCTTTATATTAAAAATCTAGTATACTAAGTAAAATAAACTCATAATGCCAAAATTTATGTGGGACATGAGAACAGATAACTTTAATGTACCATGCAAGGCAGAAGAATCAGAGTCAAAATCCATGCCTTGATGAAGTTATTCCAACCAACCCCTTTGGCCAATGTTCTTAAATTCCAAATCCCCTGGTTCCATAAAAATGCTATTCTTGCGATTGGTTTTTTTCTTAGAGTTTCTGAGATCTGAAAACTAGACAAAGGTATGCTAGGAACTTTGAGACCGAATCTGTAGAGAAAGAATATCACATAGTCAGTAGAGCTGAAAAATCTTCCAAGCTATCAACT